TGGGTTGTGGGTCTGTGTTGTGTTATTTTGTGGGTTGAGGCTCTGTGTTGTGTTATTTTGTGGGTTGTGGCTCAGTGTCGTTTTATTTTGTGGTTTGTGACTCAGTGTCGTTTTATTTTGTGGGCTGTGGGCCTGTGTTGTGGTATTTTGTGGGTTGTGGGTCTGTGTTGTGTTATTTTGTGGGTTGTTGGTCTGTGTTGTGTTATTTTGTGGGTTGTAGATCTGTTGTTGGTCTGTGTTGTGTTATTTTGTGGGTTGTAGATCTGTGTTGTTATTTTGTGGGTTGTTGTTCTATGTTGTGGTATTTTGTTTGTGGTGGCTCTGTGTCGTGTTATTTTGTGGGTTGTTGGTCTGTGTCATGTTATTTTGTGGGTTGTTGGTCTGTGTTGTGGTATTTTGTTTGTGGTGGCTCTGTGTCATGTTATTTTGTGGGTTGTTGGTCTGTGTTGTTTTATTTTGTGGGTTGTGGCTCTGTGTCGTGTTTTTTTTTTTGGGTTGTGGGTCTGTGTTGTGTAATTTTCTGGGCTGTGTGGCTGTAACCCCCAGATGTGTGGCCTGTGATGTCACCAGCAGCACCAGATGTTGTTCAGGGGCCTAAACAACTGAATAGAAATTATCAGTAGTCAGTATCTTACCTGCTGTAGACAACAGTCACTTTGAAGGATCAGGGATTTTTTTTTTCTCTTTTTGTTAATTTTGGTCAAGTTTAAATTTTCACTGACAGGTTTTGAGCAACTAAAATGCCTTAAATGTTTAAACCTTTACAACAAATTGATTTAGTTTTTTTATTTCCTTTTTGTCATGTGTTAATTTAATAAAAATATATTATTATGTTTAGAAATGTTTACAACCACACATAATATAGCTTAGAAGTTGAAAAGACAAAGTCCATCACTTTTGTTTTTGCATTTAATATTAAGTATCTGTAATTTAAAATCCTGTAAACGAGAGCCTCATGTAAAGACTTCAGCTCCAGGAGGAGTCCCTGACCTAATGAACCAAACGCAGACCTGAAAACTCCAGAAAAGTCTGGATGTGCCCCCCATAACCCCCCCCCCCCCCCCCCATGGGCCCCGCCTGCCTTCTGTCGCACCTTTTGGATGAGCTTGATCATGGCATCTCTGGCTTGTTTAAACTGTTCCTCCTTGATGCTCTCAGAAATGTCCACAGCGATGTAGATGTTGAGGATCCCACTTTTAGAAATCCTGATAACTCTTCCTTCTTGTGTGTCGTCTGAGAAACAACAGAAGCTGTTACGGTTCTGATCCACATTCATAACTGTGAGCAGCGAAACGTCACACTGGACTGGGTTTACTGAAGGATAAACAACAGATTGTCATGTGTTGTCCTTTATTTCTGTTGTTTGGTGACGGATCACAGCAGTTCTCACACAACAGCAGTGATATTCTATAAAATACAGTTAGAGGGGGTCACTTACTCAGAGACTCCATGGTGGTGAGGCTTTCTTTGATTGCACTTCCAAATGCTTGGGACACCTCGTTTGGCGTGTCGTACGTGTGTTTGTCTGCAAGGAGGAACCCGAAAACAGAAGTTACACAGAATGTCCTGTCAGACTGACTCTTTCTGATCAGGAGGATTCCGTAGCTCAACTGTTTCTCTCCCATTTTTAAAAGAGGAAAACAATAAATCACACAACAGCACACACATGTGGGACAACTCAGACGTGGCTTCATCAGAACCATTTTGTGCAATGATAGGTGGCATTTGGGGTTTTGACTTGTCAGAGGTCTAAATCTATTGATTTTCTGTCAGCTTCAGAGAAGGTGGGCTGCAGTTTGTGGCATTAATTAACCAACTGAACGAAGCTAAAATAAAATTACTATTCTGAAACAAAGAAACAAATGGCACATTTCAATATAAATTAGGGTGTCGTTTATAAAGTTATACAGTCAAAAATTAACAGCAATATTTTAGTTTATTTAGCCTTTCATAAGAAAAAGTTGTTTTTTTTCCAAAGTCAGATTTTCACCAAGTTATTCATACATTTATAAATGTCATAGTTCCAAACTAAATATTTAATTTACAAGCTAAATATTTAGTTTACAAACTTAGTAAACTAAATATTTAGTTCCACACTAAATATTTAGGTTACAGACTAAATGTTAATGTCCAAGCTAAATGATTAATTTACAAAACTAAATACTTAACTTGCAAGTTAAATATTTACTGAACTAAATATTTAGGTGTAAATTAAATATTTAATTTCTAAGCTAGATGTTTATTTTCAAAACTAAACATTTAATTCCTAAACTAAATATTTAGTTTGCTAACTAAATATTTAGCTCGGACCTAAATATTTATTTTCCAAGCTAAACATCCATCCATACGTTATCTTTTACCTGCTTCTTCCATTTTGGGTCACGGGGGTCGCCGTGCCCATGTCCAGCAATCACTGGACAAGGGGCAGGTACACCTTGGACAAGTTGCAAGTCCATCACAAAGCCCAAGCTAAACATTTAATTTCTAAAATAAATATTTAATTTGCTAACTAAATATTAAGCTCAGACCTAAATATTTAACTTACCAACTGTCCGAGCTAAATATTTAGTTATCAAATTAAATATTTCTTTTGGAAATTAAATGTTTACCTTGGAAAATAAATATTTAGGTCAGAACTAATATTTAGTTAGAAAATTTAATATTTAGTGTAGTAATTAAATGTTTAGTTCAGGAATTAAATATTTAGTTAGGAAATTAACTGTTTAGTTTTGAAAATAAACATTTATATTAGAAATTAAATATTTAATTTACACCTAAATATTTAGTTCACTGACTAAATATTTAACTTGCAAGTTAAATATTTAGTTTGTAAATTAAAAATTTAGCTTGGACATATATGGACATAAATATTTAGTGTGGAGCTAAATAATTAGCTTGCTAACTAAATATTTAACTTGCAAGTTAAATATTTAGTTTGTAAACTAAATATTTAGCTTGTAACCTAAATATTTAGTTTGGAACTATGCCATTTATTTATAAATGTATGAATAACACATTGAAAATATGACTTTGAAAAAAAAAAGCATTTTTTTCTTATAAAAACCTAAATAAACCAAAATATTGCTGTTAATTTTTGACTGTGTAACTTTACAAATGGCACCCCATATAATTGTGGAAAGATTATATTCCATAACTAATTTACCTGCTGCAGAATGCTCTTTGAATGACATCAGTTTGTAGAAACAAATTAATTCAGAGCGGGCTGAGAACAGCTAAGCTAAGCCGACTGAGACCAAAGTGGATTAATGTCACCTCCAAATTAAAAGTCTAATGTCATTTCATGTAAATTTGGTTTATAATCCTGTTCACCATCATCAGGTTTGCATCGTTGCTCCAGGCTGCTGTTTCTGATATGTCTTCTTGTATGTGAAACTGTCAGTGATGTAAAGGTTTATGAAGGAGCATCTGCATGAAGAGCTGCAAATTTTATTCAACTGGAGTTGCAGCACTTTGTCTTTAACCCTGCTCTGACCAGCCATTTGATCATCAATCCAGTCAGAATGTGAGCTCTTTCACACAGAGAAGATCTTTCTAAAGAACCTCACATTAAAATGTCTGAACTGCTACTTTTAGGCAGAGACAGAAATGAAACACATTCAATAGATAGACAGACTCTTCTTGATCAGTGAAATGTTTTTTTTTCGACTTATCCTGTCAGCAGGAGTCGACACAGCGAGCGAATTCAAACAAAACATTTGACCATTATTTTACTCCCGATGACCTTCCTGACACAACCTGGGCTCAGACCTGAGCCTCAGAGTCAGGACTGTGAACCTGCAGCACTGACCACTGAACTACCACAGCCTCCTTTATCCCAATCAGTAAGTATATTTAAGTGTTTGTGGTATTTTTATAGACAGAAAGTTGGGCTCCTCACACAGCTGATCAGTACGTGTGGGCGAGAATTCAGACTGTGGCTTAAAACAGTTATAAAAACGTTAACAATCAGATGCCAAAATGGTTTTAATATTTTTAATCTGTTCATTTACCTAAAATATATTCTGAAGGATCCAGGAAAATGAAATGCCAGATGTATTTATTTGTTTGTTTGTTTTATTAATGTAGTTTTGTGTTAGATTTGCCTGATTCAGCTACAGGAACATCAGTTTCAGGGATGCAACTGTTGACATTTAAACATATAAAGTACTAAAATATTTTGTTTTGCATTTTTCACTAAATATGTATTTGAACATGCATGACCTCTGGCACCCATCAAGGGTTGCTGCAGCACACCAGCACCCCTACTTCCTACAGCCTTGGCTACACTACACCGTTTAAGGAGTGGCTCTAAAGACAAATGTACATTAGAAACAGAGGAGAGGAAGTTAAATGTTAAAGTCAGGAAATCTCAGGATGTTCATCCCTTATCTGACTGAATTTAAGGTGAAGGCCGTGAACCAAGTTCTTGAGATGGAGTGGCTTTCAGCTGCTTCAGAATAACATGGCTTCATGCAGAATGATTATTGGCATGCCTATGATCAAATGATTGAACATGTAACTGACATGGACGTGTGGTTCTTACAGTAGCACGCTGGTTCTTTGCCCGTCCACTGGCCGCTCTCCTGGCACACCCTCTCTTTGGAGCCCACCAGGAACAGGTTACTGTTGCAGCTGTAGGTCACTTTGTCATCGATTCCAAACATGTTTCCTGTTCTGGAGGCGCCAGGCGGGATGCCAGGATCAGCGCATGTATCTCCAGCTGTGGCAAGGAAATAAAGCTGCAAAGATTAACCAAAAGAACCTGAACAGGTGTCTTCTGTTCTGTCATCAGAGGCCTGAAGTGAACTTAAACACCAGAATTGCTTTCATGAAGACTTCCCCCAGACAATTTTGAATAAAGTAGATGCCATTTCCTGCATTCTGGTGTATTTTACGGTTGTTTAACATCTAGTTTTGCCTACATAAGTAAACGCTTGATTCAATAACTATTTTAGAGTTAATGGCACAAGAAGTAGCCTGACCAACAGCTCTCCTTGTGTGAATAGAGCACGCTCCGCTTCTCTCACGCATCCTAGTCGCAGTCTAAGAAACACAGTGTAGTCTAAATTAACATTTAGGGGGAAAAATTGCTAGCCAATATGAAAATATAATAATAATCACTCCTTACAATGGTCTAGCATAAAGCAATATGATCATCATCCATTGTGTTTATTAGTAGCTTAAAATATCTAATTAAAATTCCAGTAGTGGCCTAGGTCTACTGTAACCTTACCCAGTTGTAGGGTCAAGAGACAAACATAGCATTAACACAGTATGAACAACATTCAGGAATTGTTTCTATAGGAACATTATCAAATATTTTACTTGAACGGTAAGATTATTCCACCCACGAGGAAATGTAACCCAGGGTGAGCTAACCTCGGACAAACTAACAAACAAAGATAGCTGTAATGGTGGAGGTAGTGAATCTCACAGTGTTACATGAGACATTTAGTGAGGCATTTCTGCCTTATCAGCCAACATTAAGGCAAAAAAGACAGAAAAAAAATTCTAAGCTACTAATAATAAAATATGGTAGTTACTGCAGTGGATGTTCATGCTGCAGAGAGACACAGGGCAAGAACTCACAGTGAAATTCAGTATGTAAGAGTGCAAATTTTACCTTACACAACCTATTAAACACTTTGTATGAAATCAGTTTAGTTTTAACAAAGACTAAACTTGTGCAACCAGAAGTTACAAGATATATCTTCGTATAAAACACACTAAACAAAGCACAACTAGCTTTAAGCATTAACCTTTAATTTAACCATTAAACATGCAATGTACCGGTAATTATGACCGAAAATTGAGGATTTACTTGCAGTTACTTCATACAGATGAACATGTGGCACTTCCTGTTTATAACTGTTGTAATAGCTGCCCATGGGGTCGGCAAGAGGACTTTATCATTTTTATCTTTTTCCAAACTCTGTTTAGTTTTTGAAATGGAATAAACTGTATTACAACCTCTAAACGCTCAGGGTATCTCATTTGTCTGAATTGCATGTTCCCCACTGACAACGTTTAACCATTTTTTTCTGATGATTTTTCACAAAATCCCTCTGACCGCATAGCATCCATAATACAAAACCCTGATGGGCTGCAGCTCCGCAGGTAAGGAGCGTTTACCTTTGGGACAAATTGAGGTTGCTGATTGGTCAGTTGCTGACATGCCTACTGGACTGAATGACAGGTGGCTTCGAGTATCTGACTTGTGCAAAAAAACAACAACAACAACAACAACAAAACAGAGTTGCCATTTGAGGTGGGGCAGCCCTGGATGGAGGCGGTGTGGCCCTGGTGCAGTAGCGGTGTTCTGTGTTTTTATGTTGTTAGTAAAAAGTTCCTAAAAATAAATAAATAAATGGAGCACCAGCCCTGCAGCCCATGAATCAGACCGACCCACCAGGAAATGTCCCAGTCCTACAGATTAGCCACTCTGGGCCTGTTCTGAAAGTTGTAAACTCGGCATGTTGTAAATTCTGCAAGTTGTAAACTTTGAACATTGTAAACTCTGCATGTTGTAAACTGCATATTGTAAACTCTGCACACTGTTAAAACTGAGCATTGTAAACTGTGCACATTGTACTGTAAACTTTGCACAATGTAAACTCTGTTCATTGTAAACTCTGCATATTGTCAACTCTGTACACTATTAAAATGGTACATTGTAAACTCTGCATGTTGTAAACTCTGCATGTTGTTAACTCTGCATATTGTAAATTCTGCACATTTTAAACTGTGCATGTTGTAAACTGAACATTGT